TGTCGTACGTCTCTCTTCTTCCCCCCCTCGATGAGGCTGTACACTTGTCGCATTCGCAATTGCTCATCCCCAGCGCGATGGCGCCATCGCTCGTCTCCAGCATGCTATCCTCATAAGCCCTCTATTTTTAGGGCCTTCTAGAAGGGCGGGCGCTTATGCTGCGTCCTCTATTCTATACTTGAATTGAACTACGTTGGTACGTCCGATGGCGGATGGGCTCTCCTCGGAGATACGGGGCGGCCCTCGTAACCACGGGGGATAATCGCTGCCCCCCCCATCGTCGTCATCAACCTCATGTTGAAAGCCACATAATTTCCCCCGCTGGGTCTACGGAGCCCAGAACAAGTCATGATTTTCAGGGGGGCAACAGGATAGTTGCCGTTTAAAGTAAACCGCCAGCGTATGCGAGATGTCAATCGCATGCGTGGACATTTCTCAGATAGATTTTCCTCCGATTGTGATTGTAGATGTCAGGCCAGCCGGTAAAGCGGGTTTGAAACATACCAGTCAAACAACGTTTCCCTGGTCGTTCGCCGCGTTTCAAAAAAAACCGCCGCCTCCAAAATCACGTGCTGGGATCACGACATCTCCAGCTCGGCTTGCGTGATTGACTACGCCAGCCGAGGCCTAGCCCCTTCTTGGCACCGGTTCCGCCCTGTCGCTCAGGTGACCCGCTTGCCCTAAACAGCGACCTGCTGCTGGCACCATGAACACAGCAGAATAATATAGAAGATCAATATCTGATATTGATTTCTCAGCCAGCCGCAATATCCGCGGAGATCTCAGTCAAGTTTTCTCAGTACTGTCAATTGACCTAGTAGAAGACCTGTGCTGCTCATGTCGAATAAGAAATGGCCTGGGGAACGGATGACAAACACCTTGTACTAGTGTTTAGTCCGCCGACATCATGCAGACGGTGATACTGAATAGCCACTCCACGCATATATGGCATACCATGAACTCATCTGATTTGCATCGGTCCGCTGTGGAACTGTTCACGGCGTGATTGTGTTTAGTTCAGGGTCTCAGGGTCCGGGAGCGCGGGATGTGGCTTTTCTTAAAGAGCGGGAGGGGTTCTGCAAACGTATGCATACTTTTCTTGTGGTGTAGCCAAGAATGACGATAATTGGAAGTAGATGATGCAACCAGCTAGTATAGCCCTACACCGCAACGTCGGGCCACAAAAACTGTCATGCATGAACCACAAGGCTGATAGCCTTAACTTACTTCAGATCAGGGTCTGTTTAGCGAAATGAAGGTAAGATTATATCCCAAATGGAGAAAGTAGACTTTGAAAATGCTGAACGCCTGCGATCCCGTCACTAACTCTTTTTTAAATAACCAGCCCTCCCAACAGTGTCCAACAATACAAGCTAAAAGTAAGCGAGAAAATGCACGTTCCCTGGAGAAAGACTGACACGCAAGCCGCTCCCCCCAAGGAATTCTCCAATCTATTCAAATCTAGAACCTAAACATCAACCCCATACTTTTACATAAAAGAAAATGGGGCAGAACAATCAACCCAGAATCTCTCGCACGAGAGACGCACAATCCCATCGTCTGCCGCTGATAAGGTTGTACTGATTAGATTGATAAGATAAGATGATTCCCCTGTCACGTATCCAAGGTTGAAATGAAACACGACTAAAATATAAACATCTTCATGTGTCTAGTAGGCCAGGACATGACTTCATTATGCTGATACTATTATGTACAAGTGAATACATCCACATCTCGGAAATACTATTGATGCCGAAGTCTTTTTCCGAGGAAGGTGGGGGTTGCGAGTGAGTGAATGGATGGCTTAACACTCATCATCTGGCAATTTTCCTGGGTATATCATGAAATACCTTCGCCGGTAAATTCAAGAATTGATGTCTAGAACCAGTAAATGAAGGCTTACGAAAGATGTAGGTAAGTAGGCAAGGTCATTACATCTACTACACTCGCGGAAGTCTTCTGAGTTCTGACACGCACCCGAAGTCTAGCGGGGCATTTGATTTACTAACTCTAAAAATCATACTATCTTCATTTATGTTAGGTAAATTTGTGGGAAAGCTCTGTTGTTGTTGGTCTATAAGCATAACAAGCAATCATCAACGGCAGACCGGGGTAACCTAGCCCACTATATCCGGAGGCGCTGAGCATAGTATGGTCTTGGCAGATCCCGTGGTGTCTGCTAAGTATTTGTTGAGGATTGTAGAATTCAGGTAGTATTAACTGAAAATCACTGAGCAGTTCCGAACCATCCGTACCAGCAAACTTTAATCCTTCAACGGATTTACTGTAGCGAATTCACTCCTCATTCGGTTGGGTCGGGTGCGATATCGGATAGGGTTGAAGTTGGAACACCCCACCCCACAGTCCTACTCTCCGCGAGTCTACAGAGAGGGGTCTATTGAGGCTTACTGTGTAAAATGAGGATAAAATAGAATAAAAAGGTCTAATCATTTGTATCATGCAAGTCATTAATGTATTTGGCTTGTAAGCCGTCTTTTGCAAATCCCTGCCAGTCTCCGCCAACCCTGTATGTACAGTAACTCCATTCGGATTAGGATTGACGGGCGGCTTTTGATCCCATTCGAATCATTTGCTCAAGAATTTCCCAGATGTCATAACACATAATCCTCCGATCCCCGTACCATGGGGTCTCCTTTTTAAAACAAGTAAAAAGAACAAGGCTATGTAACTCCACTCCAGATTAAACTCCCAGGTCATAGAACGCCGTTATAGATGCAAGGTGAGAAAGAAGACAAGCGGCCTTTACTGAGCGGACGTCGTCAGGGACGTCTGAAGAGCCTGCGATAGGGCCTCTTCTTGACGCTTACGCTCCATTTCCATGAGGAACTGAGCATACTTGGAGCGAGGGTTGTGGATACCGCACTCAGTCTTCTCCTGGCCCTTCCAGCGACCAGACCGCTCATCTTCGTTCTCCTTGACCGGCTGGGTGGAGTGGTAGTCACCAATGCTCTTGTAACCACGGTCGAGCAACTCGTTGTAGGGAACATCGTTGTCTTGGACGTATTGCTTGACCTGTTCGAAGGTCCAGTTGGCAAGAGGGTTGATCTTGATCAGGCCAGCCTCGTCAACCTCAATGACATCGAGGTCACCACGCTTGCCACCCTGGCTGCGACGACGTCCAGTAAGGACAGCGTGGACGTTGAGTTCGCGGTAGGCACGCTGGGCAGGCTCAACCTTGGCCACCCAGTCGTAGAACTGGTCGTCCTTCTCCCAGAGACGGGCACCGTACTTCTGGGCAAATTCTTCCTCGGTCTCCAGGCCCTGGGGCTTGAAGACATGGATGTTGACCAAAGGATACTTCTGGCGGACACGATCGACCAGATCCAGGGTCTCTTTGAAGTGGTGGAGGGTGTCGAGGAAGATGAGATCAACCATCTGGGGCCGGGGCACGTCCAGCTTGGAGAGCATGTCCAGGGTCACGAGACCGGTGAGACCGAAAGCGGTGGTCTGGTAGAGGTGAGGCAGAGAGGTCACACACCATCTCAGGACATCTGCGTATATGTTAGTCAACTTGGCCTGGAGACGCGTGAGAGGGGCAACCCATGCTGACCTTGAGGCTCAAGAAACTGCAATTGTCTGTTGAGGAAGTTCAAGTGAGGCTTCGTGAAGACGATTTCTGGGGAGTAGTCATCACTAGAGCCACCACTGACATAGCCAGAGTCTGTGGCAGTGTCCCGTAGGTCGGCAGCCTCATAGGCGGAGGGGTAGTTCTCAGACGTCTTCGCAGGCATGGTGAATGAGGAGTCGAATGACAGGGTATATGGTAGACAAGTCAATCCCAAGGACGAGCAGATGAAATGCAAGCGGGTCTATATGTAATGGCTCGACTAGACTTGGAGGGATGACGGAAGGACAAGAACTGAAGTGGGAGGCAAGAGATGATGTAGACAGAACACAATGGAGATGACTTGACCAGTCCGATATAAAAGAAAGACAGGACAGGGGCAATCACGACATCATCGGGTCGGGGGCACCCGTTCTTCCTGCCCTCAGTCCCTCATACATGCCGGCTCATTCTGCCGTTCTCGATCACGACATTGTCTGTGACCGCCTGCACAATCGGGCGACTGGGCTGAAAAATTTAATTTCCTCATGTCCTGGGGAAATCACGCAATACTTGCGCCCTTGGTGAATCTGCGCACCCGGATATGCTTAGCTCAGCCGCTGAAACAGCCGCCAGTGTGCCATTGCTGATAAATCCAGCATGGTCCACAGTGAAGTTGGAACGGTGAAGAACATGGGCGAAGGGCATCAAAGTTCATCCGGTCGGTAATTCCGTGTAGCCGCTGCCCATCTTATCTTGGATGATGACATGGTAACCCTGTTCCGGTCTGTTTTCTGGTTCCAAAGAGGTGCAGGTCTAGTTGATGATTAGCCTCGGACTGGAGGAGATGGATTGCTTAGAAAACAAACCCGGCTGATTTGAGTCAGACATTTGTAGATAACGTAGTTAATCAGAATTAGTGTTGCTGTTGTTGTCTTGGCGACTAGTCAGAATAGACCCTTATTTGTCATACTAAATCGATGGTGGCAGTTGGAAGCATGCTTGCTCTGCTCCATGAACCCCTCTTCCCCCAAAGATTGATATCATCATCATCTCCATCTTTCAATCTTGGCTGGGGAAGAAGTTGGCATGGTTCTGCCGGGCGGTGAATCCAACTACTCGGCCTCATGTGACCGAGGGGCACGGGATCCCCCACCACGTGCGGCCGATCGGAGCTGCAGGGGAAATTCGCCGTGAGTTCAAAGCCAGACTCTCTCGTTTTGAACTTGTCTAGACGCTACTCGTACCTCCCTTCCTCTTCCCGCCTGCTCCAGCTTGTCGAGGGTTTGTTCCCACCGGGTGGATTCGCCGTTGATTGCTGAGGATCATCCGCTGCTTGCATACTCGCCCTCTGCTATCGATCTCCGTCTACCTCCGAATCGCACTTGCACCCCTCACTCTCCTCTCTTGCGCCAAAACTCTCTAGTCCGGCACAATGGCAGCGCCCAACCCCACCAACAACGGCCGTCCAACGCGGCCGGTATTGCGACAGACCCTGTCCAGCGCATCCTTCATCCAGGATCATCAGCAGTACAAACCCTCTGCCCCCATTCAGACCATCGGCAACGTGATTGGCAACTCCCCTGAGTCAGCGTTTGCTGCGCTGTCCGTCAAAGCTAATCCCATTAGCCCCGATCCCGAGAAGGTGACCGACAGTGGCATTATCCACAGCATCTTCAACCAGCAGACCAATGAACTGCCTACTGGAACACAGCAGCTGGTCGCTACGATCTACTACAAGTCTGCTGATCCTATCCATCCCCATCTGCACCCCGATTCCTCCCCTCATGTCGGATCTGGCCAAACTCTGCCATCACCCATGGTACCCGTAGGTTCCGCCCCGACGGTCGATATTGAGAAGATCCCACGGGAGCCTCCCGCCCCAGAGCCGGAGCCGCTCGACCATCTGTACGGTCCGTTTGTATCGCAGCTCTGCCTGACCAACTTCCTTCAAATCATCGAAACCCTTCCGACCCCGTATCAGCGCACCAACACTTCGCATCGCTGCTTGGATCGTCACGACCAGCCTCGCGTCGTCGAAGTTACCTTCTCGCCTCCTCCCAACCCGGAATACCTCACCTTTGAGGACCTGCGGAAGCATGAGAGCATATGGCGATTCGAGCGTGAATGGAATGTGGAGGTTGTCCTCCAGCGGGAGAGCATCTTCCGTCGGCACAAGCGGTTGGTAGTGTTCGATATGGACAGTACATTGATTCAGAATGAGGTGATCGATGAGATTGCCAAGTTCATCGGCGTGGAGAAGGAGGTTTCGGTTCGTACCTTCTTCAAATAATGATGGCAAGGGGCTGTATATGCTGATATTGATGGCAGGAAATCACGGCTCGTGCTATGAACGGCGAGCTGGACTTCTCCGCATCTCTCCGGGAGCGGGTTAGCCTGCTGAAGGGCGTTCCTGCGGATGTCTTCGAGAAGCTGAAGTCCATCATCACAATCTCTCCAGGTGCGCGCGAGCTGTGTAAGGCACTGAAGACCCTCGGCTGCAAAATGGCAGTCTTGAGTGGTGGCTTTCAGCCTCTTGCGGAGTGGCTTGCCGAACAGCTTGGACTTGACTACGCGCATGCCAACCATGTATGTGATGCGACACCTGACCCGTCGAAACTGTTTTGTATGTTTTGATTGTGTACTAATTGACTGTTCCAGCTCGAGATCGATCCTACAACGCAAACTCTGACCGGCAAATTGGTCCCCACATACCCCATCATCGATGCAAACCAGAAGCGCTCGATTCTTCACTCGATTGCCGCGGAGCATGGCATTCCTATCTCCCAAACTGTCGCTGTTGGTGACGGAGCCAATGATCTGCTTATGCTGCACGCAGCAGGATTGGGTGTTGCGTGGCGGGCCAAGAGCAAGGTGCAGCTCGAGGCACCGACCCGTCTTAATGGCGAGAGCCTCGTAGATGTCCTCTACCTCCTTGGCCTGACTAAGGATGACATTTCCGAGCTGATTGCGTAGTTGAAACGTGCTACAGAGCATCTATTACAGTGACCAAGTGATCAGCAGAAAGACACGAACACGTGCGTCTTACACACTAGTCAGCTGGGCGACAAGCATGCGAGCATGTCGCCAGGTGCGTACTCTACTACTACATTTCCAACCCGTTTTTGGAGTCCTCCCACGCGCACCATTGGATAGGTTCCTTTCTTTCCGTTCCATTCCCATATCATTTCCCTATCCATTTCTCCCCACATACTATCTCTTTCTATCTCTCTTTGGCTCCCATGTTTTGGATTTGGCATGTGTAGACAGACCAAGCCCAAACCAAAACCACCACAGCCCTTCTCCCTCACCCCATTCATTACCCCAACCATGAGAATTCCAGAAGCCAAGCGGAAGATAGTCACATGCATTAAGAACGATGGGCACGAGAGCGTTACATGCGGGCGTCGGAGTAGGCAGGGAACAAACACGGGCAGGTACACAATACATACGACTGCTATGGCGATGGGCTACATACGTACGGACAAATTTTTGATTGATTCGAACGACTGCGAAATCATGATGATGGCTGTTAATATTCCCGTCCACCTGTTTTTATGTGAAATGGATGCATACATGTTGAATTAGTATTTTTCTATCCACGACTCTGTAGTGAATGATTGAGACAGCCAGCCCGTCCCGCTCATCCCAGGCCAATTGCTAATGAACCCTAGCAATGCTAGTAGAAGTAGTAGTTGATGACGTCCGTAAGTAGACAAAGTTTTGAAAAAACCAAAAGCTCGAAACAACCACAGTATAAGCCCCATTTAATGCAACCCTGCGCCAATAGACCGAAAGACAAACACAGAAATCGTACAAAGCTCGAAGAGAATAGGTTATGCTAAAGCTCAACGAGCAGCCTCATCAACAGCAGCAGCAACCTTCTTCTCGGCAACAGCATCACTAACCCCGGCGCGCCTCTTCTTCAAGACATTCTCAATGAACGCCTCACCAGCCTTATAAGAACTGCGCACCAACGGTCCAGAAGCACAGTAGAGGAAACCCAACTCCTCAGCACGACGCTGCCAATGCTCGAACCATCTCGGATGAACGTACTCATGCACAGCCATATGCCTCTTCGTCGGACGCATATACTGCCCGAAAGTAACGACATCAACATCAACAGCGCGCAACTGCGCCAGCGCATGCTCCAACTGTTCCTCAGTCTCCCCAAGTCCCAACATCAACGAAGACTTCGTAATAACCTCTGGGTTGGCCTTCTTCGCTGCCTCCAACACAGCAATACTCTGCTTGAAGGTAGCCCTGCGATCACGGACACGGGGGGTAAGCGCCTCAACAGTCTCAATATTATGCGCATACACATCCAAACCCGAGTTCGCCACCAGCGCCACCATATCCAAATCACCACGGTAATCACCCGTCAAACATTCAACAAGGGTGCTAGGCGCCTTGGACTTAATCTTGCGCACCGTCTCAGCGAAATGACGCGCACCGCCATCCGCAAGATCATCACGATCCACACTTGTAAGCACCACATATCCCAGCCCCCAGCGGGAGATGGCCTCGGCCGTGTTCTCCGGCTCATGGGGATCCAGCGCAGCGGGCCTCCGGCTCGTTTTAACACTGCAGAAACTGCAACCGCGGGTGCAGGTATCGCCCATGAGCATGATGGTAGCGGTGGCAGCGGCTTTGTCGCCGCCGCCCCAGCAGTCGGAAATATTGGGGCAGCGGGCTTCCTCGCAGACAGTGTGGAGGTTCAGGCCGCGCAGGTCTTTCTTGAGGCGCTGGTAGTTCTTGGAGTCGGGGATGGGGGTTTTCAACCAGGGTGGAAGACGGGTCATTTGCTTTTTGCGGCCGGCGGGGCCGACGAGAGCGGTTTCAAGAGCGTAGGCTTCGGAAGGGTCGATGAGGGGCGCATTGTCGTTGTTGCCGGAAACGAAATCCCCGAAGGATGGGCCGGCGTTGAGCTTGTCTGTGAATGCGGTGCGGCGGCGTGGTTTGGGGGTGCTGGTGGCGGAGGTGGAGGAATCGGTCGTGGCGTAGGTGCGGGTTGTGAGGATGCTGGGGGTGGATTGAGGGAGGGAGGCCCTCGTGGAGGTGTAGAGAAGCCGTAGGCGGTTTGTTGATGCGGCTGCCATGGTGTGTGTTTGAGGTGAGGAGGAGAGGCAGGCTGCGGTGCTTTGGAGAAGTTGAAATGGAAGTTGGATTCCGCGGGAAAGTCGCTGATAGCCATCGGAGTTTCGGTTGCGATGCCGCCCGATCATGACTCAGCTGGTGCTGGTGCCTGAGGTGTTGATGGTGTGCTGGGCTGATTAATTCTACGACAGTAAATGGAATGGACTACTAGGTTGACTATGGTTCGAAAAACAAAAGGGAATAAAATTTAAAGGAAATACCATTGTGTATGTAAATCTGTGTGGGAAACAACTAGCTATTATACATTAGCCCTAGTGGCTAACTGCACGCAGTACATGTAACTTCAATCGCCAGTAGGAAATACAATAGGGAACAGGCCCCAGGCATGTGGTTTGACAGATAAGGAAATGTAAGTGAAGGACAGGTCATAGAATACACTGAAACGAAAGGCAGGGTTCTATGCAATCTGGTCTAGCCAATATAGTAAGGAAAAATATGGTCACAGAGACGGGACTGGGATATAAGAACAGAAGGAAATAGAGGGTGAGAGAATAAACAAGGAGAGATAGGAAAGGTGTCTATAGTGATTGACAGTCTCCTTCAGAGACTAATGTTGGCAAGTAAAGAATGACTGCTCAGTTCTTGGCTTCGAGAACTTGAGCTAAAACAAATACGGCTGACTTGAGCGTCTCGTCTGCTTTGCCGCATATAGCAAAGAGCAGATTATCCACTATTCGGTCCAGCTCTTTGCGAAGCTCCATGCTTCGGGATCCGAGGACGCGTTCTTTGACACGAGACGAAGTAGCTGGACTGAACTGCATCCCTGGCGATGTAGCTACCTTCTCGGGTACTGTATCTAGCCGGGACACGGGGGAGGGATGCGAGAAATTGTTGATCCTTCGGTTGTTGGAAGCCAAGGATACAACATAGTTCCGCGCGATCAAAGCGGCACATAGGCCACCTAATAGATTCTCCGCGACGTTCGGGAAGATATCGCGGAAGGGTTTCAGGAGTGCCCGTTCATTGTTGTGACGGATGAACATGATGACGGGAGAAGTTAGACGAAGCATGTTTCGTGGAAAATCCTTCACTGAATGCTCCAATTGATCGATAGTCCATTCATGATCCCACCACTTCTCTAATTCCTCCTTCTCTGACATGGTTGAGGAGCGTCCTGGCGATGCTAGGACCTGGGGTGATGTGCTAAACTTTGGTGGTCGCTCTAACTTGGGCGGAGACTTCGGCTCAGGCGGGACTGGAGTCGGTTTGCTGCATACGATTGTTTCGCCGACGCTCTCTGAACTCATAGAGCCTGCATCAGTGTAGTCGTCGTCGTCATCCTTATCGTTCTGCAAGTCATCGGGCGAGGGACAGTCCGGATGAGTGATATACCCACTGTCAGACATCTCCATTGGAGTATCCGGACTGAAAGCCGATACCTCTTGTTGACCAAGATCCGGGGTGGATGGTACCGGTTGTGGCGGAGTTGGAAGCGAATAGCTCATTGCTGGAGATGACTGACGCGAGATATCGACTAATTTGGGCTTTGTTTTCCTGGCAACGGTGCAGATCTAGAAGGTTGTCAGTACATCGTATGAGAATATCAATAACCAACACTTACTTCGTGCTTGTCAGATGGAGATGTCCTCAGCCGTGGCGGGCTCTTCTGTACAATCTGGCATTTCCTTCGACTTTGTTCTCGAGTCCTCTCGCCCTGGGAGCCAGGTGTTTCTGCAGGCGCGCCCTGAAGCCACTCACCACAGTAGGAGAGACTGCTGGGAACCCAGCTTCCCTCACTAGATACCGTTCCTGACCTGCTTCTCTGGGACCCCATCGACGATCCTGAAAAGTTCCGCTCCACGAATGTCTCGGAATCTGCAGAGGGGACGGGCGATGGCATGCACTCTGGATTGGGGGACGTTGCGATCAAAGACGCCTCAGCTGGCCGGCATTGCTTGACCAATATGGAGTGCGCCATATGTACATTGGTTGTCTCATCGCGCGGCGAGGTTGTTGGGCGAACATCCTGCTTTCGAGCACCACAGTCATCACAAGATTCTTTTCCAGACACACAGGCGCAACCTTTCGGTGTAGCTGGACCATAGTCTGATTCGGACTCGTATTTGGAAGAGAAGTAGGCAGATGATGGGGACGATTGTGAGCCCAGAGAATCGGAGAGAGGAGGACTGGGAAGAAGGCCGAAAGAATCTATGCTGGTGACGTTGATGTTTTGGTCCGAGCGCCAGGCTCGCAGCGTTTGACCTCCGGACAGTTGTCGCGACGATCTGGCTTCCTTTGCAGCTGATGCGATGCTTTCCAGGGATGGAGATGAGGGTAGACGCAGCTGAAAGGGTTGTTTCATCCTGCGCACTGAGCGAAATGGCGACATGACCACCGGAGGACGCTCTACTGGTCGACGTGGCTGCGGAGCTGTAGTATATTCGGCTTGGTCTATCCGAGGAGAGGTCGAGGGAACGAAAGAAAGAGAGCTCTGCGCCTGTTGCTGTCTCCTCCAGGGCTGAACATTGGGCGCATAGCGCGGAGCAGCAAGTCCGTTGCCTTGGATCATGGCTTCTTCAGCTAATGAGTTATATGACGATACTCTCCTGGGTGCGAACGCTGGGACCTGGTTCGCAGACATGGTATGTTGATGACAGTTCCTATTTGGGTTTAGGAACACCCTGGCTGACTGGCAGTCAGTGGAAGACATGGCTGGTACGAGAAATGGTAAGTAACAATCAGGCGATAATCGATTTTCCTATGGTTACTCGATAATAATGTGCAAAGGAAGAGGAAAAGAGAAGCATCAATTTTGATCGGGAAAGCGGCCGGCAGGGCCTTATACTACATAACAATATGGGTTTCCAGGTATCCCTTGACTGCCTTGCGGTGACGGGGGAACTAGTCACTGGGCATGTGTACTCTCCCCCTTCGAGAGGGTCATCTAACACTCTGGAACATAGACGAAGAGTGAAGGGCGACCACGCCCACCGTCCTTGCATACCAGAGAGAGGCGAGCGGAGGCAATGTGCACAGCCATTGGCTAGCAGTCTCAATGCGCGCCACCTGCAGGGACAGCACAACGTGGGTGGTCCGTCTCCCAGGGTGCTTGGATCTCGTTAATTAGCAAAAGGAATGAGACATGCAGTTGGAGGGATGCGGGAGGAGCCTTGAGAGGGCATTCAAAGGACGTCACCGGTCTGATTTCAGGACTCTCTGGTTAGTAGAGGCGTTGCGCCGGACAATCAAAGAAGAAGCCCCTAGAGGGACACCCCTTGCATGGGTTGCTGTGGGCGCCGGCGATAGGCTCATGTTGATTGAGGGATAGGCGAAATTTTATTTAAGCAGCATGTGCAGGAATTCCAGCTTGACTGCGGCCGCGGAGATTTGAGTTGTATCATGATGGGCTTGAATACCACGGGAAGGCAAGCAAATTTCAATCTCCAGATGCGGTCTTGATGGTGGCTCAGTCAAATCTGCTTCTGCTGGGAGTGTTATGGCCGATAATGGATGGCTTGCTAGTGGCAACCAAGGGATAGTGTTAGCTTCAGTAGGTAAATCAGTCACAAAGGAGAGTAGGGGAACTAGGGAGCTGAAGACAGGGACAGCGAGGGTATCACTCCGTCAACCTGAACTGGAGGGAGAAGGAGACGAAGCTTAATTAATGAAGGTTTATAGATCGTCTTGTGCGGGATTATCTAAGCATGCATACAGACCTGCATAATCCTTCCTTATCGGGCATTGACAGACAAACCATGCAAACATCCCGGTTATCGATTGGAGCCTCGATTTCCTCATTTTATTTTATTGGCATTTTAGTCGATTTCCCTTCTCCAAAAAAAATTAACGGCTTGTCGCATTCTCCCTGCCTCCTGCAAATTTGAACTTTCTGGGGTGGCAGTTCGTCATGCTCTCTGAATGTTTCATCGCATCGACGCTGGCGTCCAGCAAAGCGCCAGCGTCTGCGACCCTCCGCGATGTGGGAGTTTGCGTCCATGAATTCCAGCCCACGCTGAACCTGCGCTCCACCTTCAAGAAGAGCTCGACCGCGGCCAATTGCTTGGCTGTAAGCCCGTCGCATGTGTTCGCTGCGCAGTCTGAGAAAGCCATTGTACATGTGTATAGCAGGGAGAAAGGCAACCAGGAAGCCACCGTTCCTTTCCCGGAGCGCATCCGCAGCATTGCTGTCGCCGGGGGCAAGAACGGCGATGTTCTGGTTCTGGGAACTGAAGGGGGACGTTTGATTCTATGGGAGGTAAATCAATCATTCACAGCCCCAATGGCGTCGCCAGCCATTCGTCATGGTTTCAAACTAACAGCATGTGCTTCCTAGACATGCACCGGGCGACAAGTGGCTACGACAGCGTCGCATCTGCGGCCGGTGACCTCGCTCGTGGTCGATCCCAATTCCAACTTCATTCTGTCGGGCTCATCCGATGCCAGCATTCATGTTTGGTCGTTAGTGGATCTCTTATCCTTTACGAAACCTCCATCCGGCCGTGATCGTCAGCCTCCGAACTCCCCCATCCGTACCTTCTCCAACCACCGCGCCGCCATCACCGCCATCGCTGTGGGTCACAGCGCGGGTCGATACAACATTGCTCTGTCTGCTGCAGATGATAGCACAGCCATTGCCTGGGATTATCACACCGGCCGTCTCCTGCGCACCTTCCTCTTGCCTTCCAATGCGAAGTCGCTGGCCCTTGACCCTGCCGACCGGGCTTTCTATGTCGGCTACGAAGATGGCAGTATCCAGTCGATCGACTTCTACAAGAACCAGTCCATCCAAAACCCTCTCCACGACCCCTCCCTTCAATCAACTCCCTCGCAGCCACCCGCAGAGGATCGCTGGGCACCGCCATCGGCCGATTGCGGCGCAGCGCATGCGCTCACTCTCTGCTACGATGGAATGACGTTGCTCTCTGGCCACCAGAATGGCAAGGTTCTGTCATGGACAGTTGGAAGGAAGAAGTACGCCTCAACCGTGGCAGACTACACACACCCTGTCACGAACCTGTTTATGCTTCCTCCCAACGGTCTTCCTCATCCTTCCCTCGACCTCAAGCGAGTAGCACACACCATCATCAAGCCCCGCTACGACTCTTCCCTGTCCGAAACCTCCCAAGCAGCTGGCGCCGTTCCAGCCGATTACACCTTCAGCACGCACCT